ACACACGTGACATGCCTTGCTCTCCACAATCATAAACCAAACACACCCTCCCAATTCTGTCTATTTAAGTTTAATAATTTCCCAGCAACTTCTTGTGTGATCCCATGATCTTATGGGTCCAGCTGCCTTGCAAGGTTTGCAGATTCCCCCACTATGCAAATCTTTTCAGGTGAGCAAAATGGGATGCACATGCTCTGGTTTCTATAGGCTGTGCAACATTAAAAAGTCATTCAAGGAGTGTCGGTGTGAGCTTGCGGCAGTCAAAAATCAATGGCCATGGCAACATCAACATGTTTAGCAAATGAAAGCCAGACTTATTCACAACAACCATACCATATATCTCACATTTAAATCTGATATAGAATACAGTATTTAAAGACAAAATCAGATTCCTATTCTACTTACTTTAAATAAGATGTTTTGCAAAACAGCTATTCCTTGAAATATCCAGAATATGTCAGTGGAAAACTTAATTTAATTTCTTTTTTTTTTTTTAAAAAGTAAACTACATACCTGATACGACTGTGAAGAGAAATGTGTTCCCTTCCATGATGTGTGACTCCACAGCTCACTTGCACCTAGCACCTAATGAGGTAATAACAGATGAAAGCAGGGCATCTCGTTTTTTACTTTTGAATGATATCTAACATAATCCTGCTATTTAAATATTTTGTATACATTGTTTTTGGACAGCTGGGTTCACGTCCAGACATGAGAGTGAAGAAAATAAGCGTCTATACCAAAATTATTTAGAACCATTACAACCTTTAAATGCTGTCCTCACTAATAACTCAGGAATTCAACAGAATCTACGAGACAAATTACAAACTAATAAACGATAAAATTCAAAGAGATGTGGCAAAATGGTCAACACTGGTAATGGATTTTAGCTCAAGAATTGAGGTGGTCAAGATGAACCTCTTGCCTAGGTTGTTGGTGGTCGCTCCCAGTTAGAGTACCAGATTCACAATTCTCAGCATGGGACAAGTTAATTTCCAGGTTCATCTGGGCGGAAGCCAGGCCTAGGATAAGACTCAAGACGGATTGGCTTTGCCAAACTTTAGAGAATACTACTATGCTGCACAATTAAGATACATAGTATATTGGTGCTCTTCGAGCTATCAAGCCAGATGGAAGGACATTGAGATGAGCCTGGGTCGGGCCCCCTTCACAGTCAAGGTTAAGTGGAAAGGAACATATGGATCTTCTTAAGGGTGAAAACTCGATTATGAGAGAAACATTTGAAATATGGTATGATGTGGTTAAAAAATATAAGTTAACAGGAGACTGTATGCTGTTGATTTGGCCTTCTCACACCTCCAGGTTTAGACCAGGAATGTTAGACAAGACAAAGAAAAGTGGAGAGACAAAGGATTAACAGCTATATGTACACTTGTAGATAAGCATCATTTTAAATCATTTAGACAACTTAAAAATGAGTTTGGATTGGAAAATGGAGATTTATACAGATATCTTCAACTAAGACACTTTTACGAGAGAGAAATTAAAAAGGAAATCTCATTGGAATGGAATGATGTGATTGAGGTGCTGACAGGTGCGTATAAGCAAACTCCTTCAAGAATTGTCTCTAAACTACACAAAGGTTTACTGAAGCAACAGGGAAGAAATACAGTGTATATTAAAGTGAAATGGGAAAAAGAATTTAACATTGATTGTCTGGGAATGATTGGCAGTCCATATTCAAGACCCAACATACATCAACAAGCTGATTAGCTCTGCCTTTCTCTTTTCCACAGGATCCCATCATCGGCAGACAGTGACCTTCCAATATCCACTTGTACCTCTGTGAAGACATCATTGATCATATGATGAAAAGTGAGTAAGTAAGTAAAGCTTTATCTATATAGCACTTCTATAACACAGCGTTACAAAGTGCTTTAGAAACAACAAATACAAATATAAACACACAAACCTCCAACTGACCACCTCTTCCACAGTGTCCAGGGTGACACTGTGGACAGAACCAGTTTTCCTAATAAGCTTATTCAGCCTCCTGGCATCACCCTCTTTGATGCTGCTCCCCCAGCATACCACTGCGAACTGCACTGCACTGACCACCACATGAACATGTTTAACAGAGTCCTGCACATTCCAAAAGACCTGAGCCTTCTCAGGAAATAAAGACACCTCTTGTACAGGACATCTGTGTTACCAGTCCAGTTTATTGTCCAAGTGCACCCCCAGGTACTTGTAGCTCTGGACCATCTCCACGTCCTCTCATTGGATGGAAATAGAAGATGGGGGGCCCAGTCCTCCTAAAATCCACCACCATCTCTTTTGTTTTGCTGATGTTGAGTAGCAGATGGTTCTACGCACACCACTTAACAAAACCTCTGTACTCTGTGTCCTGTCCTCCACAAACACAGCCAACAAAAGCAGAATCCTCTGCATATTTCTGCAGATGGCAGGTGTCTGTGTTGTGCCTGAAGTCAGAGGTATAGATGTTGAAGAGGAAGGGGGGGACTCCTTGAGCTCCAGAGGAGGGCCTTCAGGTCACTTGTAATCCAAGGCTTATTGCTGGGAAAACACCAAACCCCCCTAGTAGGTACAGTATTCTCCACACAGAAGTTAATGTAATCTGAGATGCAATGTGAAAGACCCTCAATATCCTCCCAAAGTGACTCACAGTCCTGCAGAGCCTCATCAGCCTCATGTTTCCATCTCCTGCAGTCCTCATAGTCACAGAGCGCCATCTCGGAAAAAAACAACTAGTAGGTTTAGATGGATCCTTGCCAGGTTTCCTTATCAGAATCACTACTGCTTATTTCCATGCACTTGGTAATCTTCCCTCCTCCCACACTCTGTTATAAAGCTGCAGTATCTTCAAGACTTGTTTATTGATCTCAGCATCTCTGCCAAAGAAAGTGGTTTATCCATTACACCATCTGTTTGCTCCCTCCTGCGCAACACACCCGGATGCTTACTCATTGTACTTCTCTTTCACCCTTCTTCTGATAGATTTTCAGAACTATGTACCTTCACAAATGACTTAGCCATGATCTCTGCCTTATCCCTACTAGAGACTTCTGTTTCCTCCTCAGATGTCATAACTGGAGAGTCCCACTCCCTTCCATCTCCTCCAATCCTGGTATTCCCCATACTTTTCCCCACAGGTGCTGTTCTATTTTGTTGCAAAAATGGCTTAGCGCGACATACTCTCACCACTGCCTGTGCCTTTTCTGAATGCTCCGTTTTTGTTTCTTATAGCCTGATGACACTCTTTTTTTCCCCCACCACTGTACAAGTTTTCTGTTCATCCTATTTTTACTCCTGGGTTAAATCACTTAACTTCTGGAACTTATCCCAGTCAGCTTTTCCAAAAAACACACTTTGAGACTCCACCACCTGATTTCACTTCCTTTCTCCCAGTGAGCATGAGACTGTGTAGTGAGAGTTACCATAATTAGAAGGAACCAACCCGTGGTGTATCCCAGCTTTACTTGTTAGTAAGGTTCTTCCCATGTCAGTCACACTACTAAATGATTCACTGCTGCTTAGACAACTTTACTTCAGCCGTACTGTTGATCACTTCTGCAGTGAATCTTACTCAGACCCTTTTATCCACATAAACCCTGTCATTTGTTCTTTGTTTCAGTGCTTGTACCTTTATTGCTGCTTGTTCTTATTAGCATTGTTCTGTCCCCTTGACACTCTTCTACATATGTGATCCTTCTTTTCACTCTTACTTTTTGGATCCCCCACATCTAGCACATCTCTTCTGCTCATTACAGTTTTTAGTTTTTAGTGTCCAAACCCTTGACAATTGAAGCAGCTCAATGACTTTGGAACATACACTCTCACTGGGTAATTCAAAAAATCCATGAATACCGTCTTTGGTACATTCTCTCCTTCAAACCCTACACTATTCTTCTTAACTCCTTCTTTTGTTGTTTTCAGTCTTTGAGCATTTATAGTGTGACCCCACCCAGGTTACAACGGGGACCGATACACAGAATATAACTATACCAGCCCTAACCACCAACCATCTGAGCGTTGACACAATTTTTAAAGGGTTCAAGAAAAGCGGGAGACGTGCATTCAGCTCTCCAATAAAAAATTTATTGAAAACAAAATTATACTAACAAAAGACCTGAAAAAGAAAGGAGAAACCATGAGACTAGTCCAAATTATTTTATTCCACAATACTAAAATAGTTGAAACAACTAATATATAAATAGCAAATGGCTTCACCTGCCGAATATGGTCTTTTTATATTCGTGTGTTAGTGACCACGAAAGCTCTGTGAACCTAGCCACTGAAATCTCATTGATTTTGCCTTTGTTTTGATTAGCAGTGGGACGACCTGCGGGAGTAGTCGTTGGGATATCACACCTCCTTGCCATGCCAGTTGAGTGTATGTTTTGAAAAGGTAGCCTTCAACTTCACTGGTTGTAGGTTGAATTCCTGCAGTATAACTTGTATGTTGACCAGTGATCAGTGTACACGAAAGGGATCTATGGGGTCTCGTGAGAGTCTCCCCGCGGTAAGTATCCCTGTCCTCCATTTCTGCAACACATTAATCTCTTATGTATTTTATT